TCCAGCAAGGACACCTGTTGCTTCCAGGTCCTGGCACCTGGTCACAGCTTCCTTGAGGACCCCTGCTCAGCCATCTCAGTCCCAGGTCTTGTGTGGCTGGTCCCCCCAACACACATTAGGCACGAGCAGAGGCCGGGGCCTGGCAGTCACAGCCCTGTGTCCCCCGGGCCGCGGTGATAGCTCAAGGCCAGACACAGGCTCAGTTCAAGGCAATGAGGCTGAGTCCTGTGGACCTGGGGCTCCAGGAGCTCAAAGAGGGCACTCGGGGGCGTCTTGGGAGAGACCCGCGTGGGCGTGAGGCCACCTGGTGGGGACTGAGCCAGATGAGAGACCAAGGACCCTCAGACACCAGACCCCTGGTTTCTTTCTTATGCTTAAGCTGGTTGCTGTAGAGTTTCTGTCACCCTGATCCAGGTTCCTAGTGTCCCTGTGACCTCTTGACTGCTCCACTGGCCCCTGCTTCTCACCCACGGAATTCCTCCAGAGATGAAGGAACCGCCCGCGGCCCCCTCTGACTGCATCCTCTGCCCGTTTGCGGCTCTTGCGAAGAATCCTGGGCTCAGTCCAGCAGCCCCAGGTTCCCAGCCGCCTCAGCTCAGCCTGGACAGGCCTCAGCAGGGCTTGACCAGCAGCGGAGGCCAGCAGGGGAGGCTCTGAGCCGTGGCCTCTCCAGCCCTCCTGTGTGGGCCCTCCCTGGCTCTGGGCTCTGCTCAGCGTCCCCTGCGGCCTGTCTCCCGGCCTGCTGGATGGGGTCCCCACTCCCTGCCCACAGCCCCCCCCCAGTGCCTCTCCCCTGGGCACTGGCCCCAGCGGCTGGCTAGAGTGTCCTCCAGGACCTCGGCCGCCCTCGCCCTGCAGGCCTCCTGACCACCCAGGAGGATGGGGCGAAGGAAGGCCCCCAGATCTGCTGAGCTCACTCTGTGTCACTGTCACAGGTGGCCAAGCCCATTCCCACGTGCTGACAGGAAGGCCTGAGCGCTGGGTCAGCCCTGGAACCCAACCCTGCCCGTCCTTGGACAAGTCCCATCATTTGCAAAAGGGGGGACACTGATGTCCCTCTGGAGGCCCCCGGAGACCTGGGGACCACCGCTCACGAGCAGCTTCCCAGCTTTCCTCGCTGTGCCCCCCAACACAGGTCCTGACAGCCTGCAGGTGACCCAGCAGGGCCAGCCTCCAAGTCACGGCAGCAGCCAGAGATGTGAGGCGGGGTCCCCGCCCGGTCCAGCTGTGGCCCCTTCAGCCAGCCTCACACCCACCTGGCCTCTGGGGGAAACCCCTCCAGGCCACGTGCGTTGGGAGGATCAGTGTCACCTCCTCACCTGAAACCCTCAAGGGCCTGGTGCCATCCTGTGACTCAAACCCAGAGTTTGTTAAAAGGCTGAAGCCAGCCCGTCCGCCCCAGCGCCATCTGGTCTTGGCCTCCTCCTGTTTCTGGCTGTTCCCGGCCGCATGGAGCTGCATCCAGGCCCTGGGACGGCTGCACACATTCCTGCCTCAGGACCCTGGCACCTGCTGCTCCTTCCCCACTCGGCACACTCTTCCTGCGCCCCCTTCCCCTCCAGGTCCACCTAATCCACCCCTCCCAGGACCTGCCGAGGCACCGCAGACCCTCCACCACAGGCTCCTGCCCCTCCGGCTCTCCCTCCGCAGTTCTGGAGAGATTCTCCCTGCGATGTCTGCCTTCTCCCTGGGACCACAGCATCATAAACAGACCATGGGGCATTTCCTAATTTACCCCAGCGCCTGGCGTGTGCTCGGCCTTTGGCAACGCTTCATGAATCCTGGGCGCCTGCAGGACTGAGCCCACACGTGGAGGAGGAGCCCCTGAGCTGCGCAGCCCGGCCACCCCGGCCCTGCCTCCCTCCTCGGCCCCGTGGTCCAGATGTGTCCCCGAGAGCTTGGCTCAGCACCAAGGGGGCCTCCAGCCCTCTTCCTGCAGCCACCCATGCTGTGTCCCCCAGGGAGCCGGCAGGACTGACCACACTGAGGCCAAGCCCCGGCTTCCCAGAAGCCCCCAGCACAGTCCCTCTGTGAGCTCACTGCCAGGGACACCGGGGGCAGAGGGTGAAGGAGTCTGTCCCCGTCCTGGGTGCTGTGGGGGTTCACACCCAGAGCTGTGGGACTCCAGAGAGGGCGCCTGACCCTTGGGCCACCACCTCTCAGGGGAGCCTCCTGGGACCTCAGAGCCAGGCCCTCCCCAGACCCAGCGGGTGCTCCTGGCGCTTCTACACTTGGGATCCTTGAGAAGGCACCGCACGCCTTCTGGAACCTTCTCCCCTTTCTCCCTCAGCTCCCCACCTAATAAGGGGAGCAAGGCCCACGGAGAGGATCAGAGTGCAGTGAGGCTGGGGGTCCCTGCGAGAAGACACCCCCCTCCCTCGTGCCTAGGACAGCGCCTGGCATAGCTGGGCTGCGACGGTCCTTCGATGGAGACAGCGTGTCCTGGGGCTGGCACACTTGTGACCCGCGGCCCGAGCCCTGGCACAGGCGGGGCTGCCCTCATCCTCGCCTCCAGGAGAAGCTGGCCCCCCGAGCTCCATGCTCAGGGCGTGGACTTGCAGAGAGCCATGGTGCCCACTGGGCAGTCCCCAGCCGAGCAGTGACACCACCAAGTCTCCAAGCAGAGCGGTTCAGGGCTGGAACTCAGGACAGACTGAAGGATCAGAATGTGGACACCAAGGCCACCACATGGCTGCAAGGTCATGGAGGTGCAGAGGACAGTCCAGCCAGGCCCTCGTGTGGCCAAGTTCAGCCCCACCAAGCAGGCTTCCTGGGTGCTGCAGTTCGGATATTGGCTGGGGTGCGTCCCAAAGGCCCATGTGGTAAAAGCTGGGTCCCCAGAGTGGCACGATTGGGAGATGGTGGAAGCTTCAGGAGGCAGGACCCAGAGGGAGATCCTGGGGCCATTGGGGTTATGGCCTCCAAAAGGGGATTGTGGGACCTGGTGTCTGTCTGTCTGTCCCCTACCCAGTTTGAAACATGACTCTTCTACACATGCTCCTACCATGATGGGCTGCCTTCACCAGAACCCAAACCAATTGGGCTGCCCCATCTTGGACTTGAACCCTCAAAACTATGATCTAAATAAACCTTTTTTTCTTTACAAAGTGGTTTCCTAAAGCATTTTGTTATAGTGATACAAAGCTGACCAGTGAATGTCAAGTTCATCAGATCCAATGAAAGAGACCAGTGATTGACCCTGTGTGGTGGATCAAAGATGGCTGAAAACTCTTTGTCACTCTCCTCCCTTGGAGAGGTGGAGTTTATCTCCCCAGCCTTTGAATGTGGGCCACCTGCAACTGTTGTAACCAATAAAATGAAAGCCCTGAGCCACCACAGGTACGAAGACCAGTTCCTCTGCTGGGGAGCCCACATAGAGAAGGTAAGGTCCTAGGACTACACGGAAAGAGAGTAAGAAAGACCCAGGCTTTCAGCCTTCTCCACCAAGGCACCAGGCAGGTAAGTGATCTGGGAGAGATATTTCAGCCTGGCCAAAACCCAGACAACTGCACTGAGAGCAGAAGAACCATCCTAATGAGCCCAGTCAACCCGACAATAACTGGTGGTTGTTCTGAGCCACTATACTTTGGAACTGTTTGTTACACAGAATAACTAGCTGAAACACTCTTGAACTGGAATGCTATTGACAGCCCAGAAAATGTTATTTTTCTCTTTCCAGAGGAGGGAGGCCTCCAATTTTCTTGCCTTTTAGGGCACCTGGAAGAGATGGAGATCTCCCCACCTCCTGCACCACCAGCCAGGGGACTAGGGTTCCCACGATCACATTCCAGGAAAGAAAAGCTGATTGGCTCAACTTGGGTCAGGTTTCCACCCACTGACCAATCAGCTGAGGCCAGGATGTCCAGTTCCACAGCATTGACGTGGCTGCTACCCCCGGCCCCACGGGTGGGGAAGGAAGAGAAGCAGTTGAGCTCAGAAAAAAGAAGCATGGGCTGAGCCCACAGGGGGGTCACTGTGGCAGGAACCTCCTGAGACAGCAGGGAAACCTTGCCCAGGGCCTGGCTCAGCAGGGACAGAGCTGTGAGTGAAGTGCGGGTGGCGTCACGGCCAGGTCCCTGTGCAGTCAGGCTGCTGTACCCACGTGGCTCTTGAGTTTTGTTAGTGTTGTTATTCTGCCTCCTTGAACTGCCTCTGAGGAGGGACTCTGGGTGGCTCTGGGCTTCTTGTAAGGCCCTTTTACGTGCTCTCAGGGTGAAGGCAGCAGTAACACCAACACTGCCCCCGTGAACAAGAGTGGCTTCGGGAAGTCCTGGAAGCTCCCACTCTGAGAGGCGAAGCCAGGAGAGGAGGCTGGGAGCTCAGGTGAGCTGGCAGCCCTGGGGTCGGGGAGGGGGCCTGAGGTCTGGAGTCTTTCCTGTGCGTCCTGCAGGGGGCTGCTGTCTGTGCCGGAGGAGGGCTAGGCCCGATGCACCAGGAGACAGGCCTCCATGGGGGTGGGAGGACAGGGTGGGGGTGCCCAGGCCGACCTCATCTCGCTCACAGGTATGCCCCCCATGGACCCCCAGATACCAGAGGAGGCACCCCCACTCTTCTCCAGGGTGACTGGAGCATCCTGTGAGTCCCTTAAGGACAGAGTCTGTGTCTCAGACACCTGCCGGGACGCTCTGATGACCGAATGAGCAGCGGTGAGCAGATCAGCCCTGTCCAGAGCCCTCTAACTCTCGACGTCCCGCACTGGACCCAAGGCCTGGCCCTGCAGCCGACCCCTGCCGAGCACCACCCAGGCGCCCAGCTCAGCCTCATCTGTGAAGGGGGCACTCCAGCCTGTCCTGGTGGGGCTCCGGGTGGATGAGATGAGACCACGGAAGTGAATCTGTGACTGAATAAGGCAGGACAGCACAAGCTGGCTTGTCATCACTATTCCCACCCCTTTTGCTGTCCCACAACCGCCATCAGCCCTTCTTCCTGGTCCCCCCATAACCACACCATCTCTGCCCCGTTCAGTGCTTAAGTCGAATCACATTTAATTGTTCTTCATCAGGGATTAGGGACATCAGAAGAGATTCACAGCACTCCAAGTCAAGAAAGGGTCAACTACAAAATCCAGGAATATATTAAGCTTTGGATCAGAAGAAAACGCACACCCGTCTCTCTGGCACTCCTTCCCGAAGGCTCACTCATGCACACCCGCCCTCCCTCGGGCACACACACGGGCTCCCAAACATCGTCACACGCTCCTGACAAGCACACGGGGACATGCCCCTCCAGCCCCCACCCAGGGGATGCAGGGCTGGGAGGCCCGGAGCTGTCCCAGCACCTGGCCCCTCCCGGCGCCCTCACTAAAATGGCAAAGCTGGACGACACTGGGCTGCAGGGACACAGCAGGACTCTCTGAGCCAAGCTTGGGGTGAGGAGAGGGAGGCGCCAGGGTGGGGACAGCGACCTTAGACGACTCTGTTCTCCAGGACAGTCAGCCGCTTACTGACGGCTTCCAGTGCATCCGGAGTTAAGGAGAGGAGCAGCGTGGCCAGAGCAGGGGCGCTGGCCCTGGCCCCACTTCCTGTTTCCCCCAGGGAGGTCCCTCTTCCGGAGCTTTCTCTCACCCCTACACACGGGTCCTCCCTCATGTCAAAATGTATCCACTGGTATCCACTGGTCCTGCTGATGATGGCGCTTTCCAAAAGCGCAGCCCCACTGTGCGCCCTGGGCTGTGCCCACATAGGTTCAGCCCTGCACGATGCCCACCTCGACCTGGCTGAGCCAGGGGGCTGCTGGGGACCCACCCCCACCTCTGAGGGCGGGCTGGCCTTCACGTTGTCACCATGAGCCTGTGAAGCAGGGAGTCCACAGGGACCGTGCTTTCTGGGATTTGTCCTGGACTCTTGTTGGGTCCTGTCCCTAGAATCTGGCCTCTGCCTCAGTTTACCCTCTAGGAACCTCTGAATCTGAGAGGCCTGGTGCCAAGGCAGGTGCTAGCCTCTTTGACCAAATCCTCAGAGGCAGCCGGCCAAGAAGAGCCTGCCCCAACCAACCCCCCAGGGCCACTTCTCCCTCCTGCCCCACCACGCCCCACCCCTCCTGCTGCTCTTGCCCCAGCCTCCCAGCAGCCCCTGGGAAAGGATATGCTTCCTGGTCAGGGCCTGCAGCAGCCCCTCCACTGTGGCCTGGAATCTCACGATGGACTCACAGGCACAGGGGTCTTCCTCTGCAAGGGACAAGAAACAGGGGAAGAAAAGGGAACCGTGTGGCAGTTGCCCAGGGTGGGGACAGTCCTTGCTCGGGCCCTGCATCTGGAGTCTTGGGGGACTGAGGGGCCTGGGAGATCTGGAGGAGTGGCAGCACCACAGCCCTGCTGGGAGCCAGGGGGGCCAGCCCTGGACGGCTTTCCAGCTCCTCAGAGCCTGCGAGGAGCTGCAGTTACAGCAGCTGGGCTGAGCGCCTGCTGTGTTCAGGACACTGTTCCCGGCCTCCCCTGTGTGTGACTCCTCAGCCCACCCTCTGGGCTTCATGGAATCCACTTGCCTGTGGCCATCAGTGTCGGAGCCAGATGCACAAGTCCCCTTGGCTCTGGAGCCCAAACTCTACCCGGATGTGCCACCTGGCAGGAGAGCCAGGGAGGACCAGGGGAAGAGCTGGGCTCCATCCTGGGTCCCAGGTAATTAACAGTTGTCCCCCCACCACCACCGCTGGCCTTGGCTTTCCTGTCTATGAAATGGGGATTATACTCCTACCAAATGACGACCTGGAGAACAGCACGGTTCATGTAGTGAGCGTTCGGCACCCACATCTCATGGTGTAAGAGCTGACCTGGACAGCCCGCCTCCTGGTGCTGCCAACCATTGGTGCTACCCGGCCCCTGCCTCTCCCCTCCCCCACTCTGTTCCAGGATGGCTGCATTCCCCACCGAGCCCCTGCCCTGCCTCCCTCCTCACTCACCCACACAGATCTTCTTCTGCAACTTCTTGCCGATCTGGTTGATGGTCTTGAAGTCAGCCGTGTAGAAGTAGTGCTCGGCCACGGGTTCCGAGGCGATTTCCCTCAGCTCATCCTCCACAGCATTGCCCACTCCCACAGCAAACATCTTAAAGCCTGCCAGAGAAACAAGAAGAGAAAGGTTAGCTGCTGGGACGCCAGCCATAGGGCTGAGCCTCCTAGGAAAGCCTGGGCAGCCAGCACCAGACACCTCCTAGTGGCAGCTTCTGGAATTGCAGGCACAGTGCCTGGGAGAAGAGCAGGAGGAAGTTTTTTCCCACCCGCGGTTACTATTTCCCCCATTCAAAGGTGATAAAACTGAGGGTCAGGCTTGTTCCAAAGGGGGTTTGCCTTCCAAAATTTGGTGTGTTTGGGGGAATAAATGTTCAGTTGGAAAAGTTCCAAGTTTCACCTACAAAAGGACATCAAGACAAATCACTTGCTTCCCTAGGGCCTCAGTTTTGCCATCAGTATTAAGAGAGGGCTGGACCAACAAATCCTTCCTCACCCAAATGTACCTGGGTTCAGGACACTAAGCAGAAGACAAGATAGACTACAGCTGAGCTGTGCCCATGCGCAACCCTGGCCATCAGTGGTGTCCAGGGCCCAGGCGGGCAGCACCTACCGAGGTCCTTGGCCTTCTTGGCAGCATCGTTAATGTAGTCCTGGCTCCGGCCATCAGTGAAGACAATGCCCACCTTCTGGGCGCCGGGCCTGGCCCCGCTGGACACAGTGAAGGAGTTGTCGATGAGGTACTTGAGGGCAGCGCCAGTCATGGTGCCCTTCTCCATGTAGGACATGTTCCGCACGGCCGCCTTGATGTCCTTCTTGGTGTGGAAGCGGCCCAGCGGGAACTCCTGGCGCACAGAGCTCGAGTACTGCACCAGCCCCACCTGGGCCAGCCTGTCGGACACGTCCAGGGTGTCCACAATCTGGTTGATGAACTTCTTCACCAGCTCGAAGTTCTCTGGCCGCACGCTCTTGGAGCCATCAATGAGGAAGACCAGGTCAGTGGCCGAGCTGCCACTGCCTCCACTGCAGACTGGGGAGGGTGCAAAGCAATGAAGCCTGAGAGGCGAGGCCACCATCCCAGCCACCGGCTGGACATGCCAGCTCCGGGCTGGGGATCAGCCCCTTTATCCTCAGAACCCCCTCCACAAAGCCAGGGTTGCTGGCCCCTTTGTACAGCATTGGAAACAGCTGCTACATCCCACAGGTCGGCCGTAGTGGAACCAAGGTCTGAGCTCAAGACTAAGTGACTCTTTCCACCACACTAAACCCGCTGTGAGAAAGAACGGGACTGGAGTCAGGAGATGACTCTCTGCAGACACCAAACACCTGTCTGCTTGGAAGGCCAGTCCAGAGGCAGAGTGGGGGAGGCCTGCATGGGTTTCCTGGGGAGAAGCCGAGGTTCCGCCCCTCCTCCCCACTGCCCCCGCCCCGGGGCTTGTCCACCTGTCTACTGACCATTGCAGGTCTTGCCATCACTGTTCAGGGTGAAGCCCTCGTGGCAGGCGCAGGTGTAGGAGCCCGGGGAACTGAGGCACACCTGCTCACAGTCATGGTCCCCTGTGGCACACAGGTCTGACACCACTGGGGGGACAAGGAGAGACTCAGATCTCACAATCACAAGGCCTCGGACATCTCAGCACAAGGCTCCTTCCAGATCAGGAAAGAACGGGGCCCTCACACACAGGGAAATGGACACCTCAACTGGGGTGTGTGATGGTCCAGGCCCCAGACCCTCAGCCCAGGGCTGGAATCACCGCACCAGGGCCAAGATCTGTGAAGAGGGTCATAATGTTGATGATCAAAATGAAAGTCCCTCTAAGAGGGGCCTGCACTCTGTTTTGTTCGCTCCTGTGTCCTGAGTGACTAGAAAGCCACACGGTAAAGAACACAGCGCATGAAACTCACTCAGTAAAGCTGCTAATCGCCACGTGTTGCGCTCCACACCTTGCACCATCTCACCCAATCCTCACACCGAAGGACGCACTTTCCTTAGACCCGATTCGCAAGTGGGAACAGTCTTGGCCCCGCCCCTGCCCCACCCCAGACCCCGCCCCTTTGGGCTGGTCGCATCCCCAAGAAACTCCCCCCCACACACAGACCCTTCTGCCCCCTCAACCTTCCCAGGTACCTCGAACCCTCCTGTGTCATACAAACTTTTGTCGCCCAAAACCCATGACGAGAAACACTCTTGCTGGGTTCAGGCACTTGCTTGGTCCCTGCGGGGACTGACTGTGTGAAAGGGCTCCTGGCATCCTCCTCTCTCTGCACTCCTCGAAGGCAGGACGGGGACCGGCCCAGAATCAAGCACTCCCTAGTAGCTCGCCTGACCTGAGTCCGATCTAGGCTCCACCCCAACTCGCGCAGGCCCCGCCCTCCGGCCTGGCCCCACCCCGCGCTTGGCCTCAGCCCCGCCCCCGGCCCGGCCGCCCCCAGCCCCCAGCCCTGCGTACGGCAGAAGGCCTCCTGGAACTTCTTGGACAGCTTCTCGATGACGCTGTAGCTCTCCACGTAGTCCACGTGCTCGTCCTGCGGCTCGCTGGCCATCTGCCGCAGTGTGGCCTTGTCCACGCGGCCCACGCCAATGGCAAACAGCTCGATGCCGCTGGCCCGGGCCCTCGCAGACACGTCGCGCACGCTGTCCTGGGGCCGCCCGTCCGTCACCACGATGACCACCTGCGAAACGTGGGGGCATGTGAGAACCAGCCCTCCCTCCCCTGGCTTGGCTCTCCAGGAAGCCGTGGGGATTAACAGAAGAGGAGTTGGAGGTCAGAGAAGCAAAGCGACTGGCCCAGAGTCACACAGCTTATCGGTGCAGGGGCTCCTTCTCCCGCCTGGGTTTGGTCTGGGAAAGAGAAGCTGGCTGGCCGGAGGGGAGGCAGGCTCCTCTGACTGCAGGAGAGGTGGCTCAAGTGTCCAGGCTTCTCTGTGGGACAGGGTAGGGCCATGTCTCTCCCATCAAAGTGGAGCCTCTGCGGACTGTCCCCCTCAGGGGGCTGTGGAGACCCCAGACTGCTGAGAGCCATACCCGAGTGGGCGCAGCCTGGGTTACGTCCCCGGTGCCCTCCATGAGGGCCTTGTAACTAGAGTCTCAGTGTGGAAGGAATCTCCAGGCCGTTCCCAGCGGCTCCCTTTGGGGGCCAAGCGAGCGCACTCAGCACGGTGCGGTCCTGCGCCGTGGCCACCGGAGGGCAGCCGAGGCTAACAAATGGGGTTGCTGCCTCCAGTCTGTGGAGTGGACCCCTGAGATCCGGGAGGGAGCCCGACCGCAGCCACCCAAAGAACCAATATCCGGAAGGAAGTGGTGCCCTTGTCTTCCCCATTCCCAGGAGGGTCCGTGGTCCTCCCACAGGGGAAAAGGACCCAGGCTTCCCCAAGGTTCCTGGGTTCCGCACCCTGAAGAGGGTGGTGCTGAGCTGGCTGGAGCTCCAAGAGGTCGGGTCCCCCCCCTCCCCCCGGCCCTGGCCCGACCTCGGCCTCGGTACCCTGCGGAGTCCGGCAGGGTGAGAATTGCTGCCCCACAGGGGTGGCAGGGCTAGGGAGCCAGGAAGGGGCCATGTTTATCTCAGCTCCTGCCTTTGAGCTGCAGCCAAGCTCAGAGCCTCCTTTGCCTTGGGTCCCTGCCTGCCCCAGGCCACTGCTCTGACCTGGGGAAAACAGTCAGCTCTGGAGCTGTGCCTGCCACAGGGTGTCACCACCAACAGCCTCACCACCTCTCCATTAGGACACCTGGGGCCACCGCATCCTTAGCCGTGACTCTCAGCCACAGCTACAGCACCTCCTTAGAGCTTGTGAGTGGCCCCACAAAATGAGACCAACAGGCGGCTGCTGTGTCGTTTCTCAAGGCGGGTGGTGGCTGGGGCTGGGCTGCCACCGCTCAGAAGCAGGGCGAGCTGCTGTAGCGCTCATGTCTCGGCTGCCTTCCGTGAGATGGGTGTCCCACTCCTGCGGGGCTGTGGATCGGACCTGTGCTGAGGGGGGTCTCTGGAGGGTGTGAAAGCCCTGGGCATGTGATCAGTGACGACTCATGCCAAGGAGGGCTGCAAATGGAGAAGTGCAGGGGCCTGTGGGGACATCATCAGGGAAAGGACACCTGGCCCAACCCTGCAGGCCCAGTGCTGAGCCCTGAAATAATGACAGTTGGGTACAAAGCCCTTGAAATGCTCAGCACCCTCCTGGGACCCTTGCTGATGGCAACATGGGGTGCATTCCCCTTTCTGAGACCCTGCCCTCAAAGGATTATCAAATAAAAATCAGTTGATGCGATGGGGCTGGTTGGGTGCCAGGTGTCTCCTGAGCATCTTATGCCTGTGGCCTTGGTCCTTAGAGCAGCATCATGACCCCCATTTCACAAGTGAGGAAACTGGGGCCCATGAGAGGAAGTACCTGGCTCAGGGGGGTGCAGATAGCACCAGGGAGTGGGCTGGCACCCAGGCAGGAGGTGGCAGAGTCCACACCTTCCCTGTCGTGCACCTGGCCTGTCTCTGCCTGCAAGGAGCTCGGACTGCCTGGGGTCAAAGTCATGGGAACTGAAATGATCCCGTGCTGGGCTGGAAAGGCCGGGGAGTGGTGGGTCCCCACCCCAGCTCTGTCGCTCAGCTGGAGACCTCTGCCTAATGATCTCCCGTGTCCCTCAGTTCCCCCCACTGTGAGGGGACCCCCTCAAAGGAATGTCATGTGGGTGAAAGTGGAAGCCCTTAGCCCAGAGGAGAAGGCTGGGGACCTCAGTTCCAGGCCACACTTGTGCCAGAGACAGCGAGAGCCCCTGCGCAGATCAGGTGCACGCACCTTGCTGATGTCGGGGGACCTGGAGCGACCGCCCTCCGCGTCGCTGAAGGCCTTGGTGATGGCGAACTGGAGGGCCAGGCCGGTCATGGTGCCTGTGGACAGCGGCTGGATGCGGCGCACCGCCTGCAGCAGCACGGCCTTGGAGCTGTGGGCCCGCAGCGGGAACTCCTGCTTGACGGCGCTGGCGTAGTTGACCACGCCCACCCGGGTGGCATTGGGCCCCACATCCAGTGACTCGATGACCTGGGACAGGAACACCTTCACCTTCTCAAACTCCACGGGCCTCACGCTGCGGGAGCTGTCGACCACGAACACCAGGTCCGCGGGCCGCGTCCGACAGAGGTGCCCTGGGAGGGGAGGGAGAAGGCAGAGGGCGCAGGTCAGAGGCCCAGCGGCGGGCATCGGAGCTGCCAGAATCCGGACCCGAGGCCTCAGGGTTGGCCAGGTCCTGTTGTCCCTCCGTGTGTGGACGCTCTGGCATGTGGCATGCAAAGGCCACCTCTGAGCCCAAAGGAAGGACAGAGGAGCCATCCAGCCTTGGGCAATCCACTCCGTCTCCTACCCCATTCCTCACCCGGGCAGGGAGCTGACCACCCCTTCCTGACAGGAGCCTCCAAAGATGGGCCGCGGTGCAGCGGGAATCCAGCCTGCGCTGGCCGTCACCTGAGTGCTCACAGCCTCTGAAATGCACCTTTTCAGCCCTGGCTTGTGGCCAAAAGCAGGAACAGCCATTCCTCAACTCTGGGCAGGGGGCGCTGAGGGTGGGCCCCGCCTTGAGGGCCAACACGTCCCCGGCACCCGGCCCCTTTCACCTGAGCATCAAAGCGAGTGGGCAAAGCAGACCCGGCTCCCCTCAGCGGGTGGACCTGCTGGCTCAGGTCTCCAGGGCCGGGAAGGGAGCAGGCATCCCTGGTGGCCACCTTGGCAGCCTGACCAGCTGGGGCCCGAGACAACCCCAAGGAGCTGCGTCCCTCCAGACTCCCCGGAGTTTCAGGGATGTGGAGTGAGGCGCGCCTGGCTTTAGGTCCCCGCTCAGCCACTCCGTGGCCCTGGGCAGGTGGCAGCCTCTCTGAGCCTCAGTCCTCATCTGCCCAGGGGGAGAGTGGGGTCAGCGCACACCGCCTCGGGGCCTGCAGTCAGGCCGGTGGTGCAGAGGACTCTCCCTCCCCGTCTGCAGAACGCGCGGATTCCAGATGGGGGTGCAGAATCAAGAAGGGGGGAAGCTGGGTGGGGCAGTGCCAACCCCCAACCACGGGGCCCTGGACTAGGAGCCTGGCCTCAGAGGTCCCTGAGACCTTAGAGACCCCCAGCATCTGGCTCCCTGCTCCCTGCTGCCTAAGGCTGCGCATGGGCAAATGGAGGTCCAGAGAGGGAGAGCGAGTGGGCCAGACCACACAGCAGTCGCTCAGCCCCGTGGCTCTGGGGCTGCCTCCTGTGGTCTCAGGAAGGTCCTCCCCTCCCAGCCTCAGTCTCCCCATCTTTACACGGAGACCTTCACATTCTAGGACGCGGGGCCCAGAGCTGAAACTCACAGGGGTGTGGTCCCGTGGGAGCCCAGTGGGGTGGGGCTGGGAGAAGGGGAAGGGGCTCTTGGTCCCGGATCTGTATTCATCAAAGAGCCCGAGCCCCGCCCTGGGCCTGGTGCAGCTCCAGACGTCCGCGGGCCCTGGGAGCCGGGGTCCCTGAAGCGCAGTCCCTCACGGCCAGCCTGCCCTGACCCTCATCAGCATCCCCACCTCGTGCCACTCCTGGCTCTCTGCCCCTCCCCATCCTGGGTCCCATTAGCCTCTGCCATCTCGCCACCAGCCCCGGGCTGTCCCCCAGGGCCCCTGGCCATGTCCCCCATCCCACGTCCCCCTCACCTCTGGACTGGGGGGTGAGGCCGAGGTTCCGTGGAGGCTGGAGCAGCAGCAGCAGGCCGCAGAGCACGAGGCTGGTGCCGGAGACGACCCTCATGGTTGTGGCAGCAGGGACAGCGGCCGGCACAGTGGTGGGGGCCAGCGGGTCCCCGTCTTATCAACCCCCTGCCCGCCCAGCCTTCCGGCCGGGCGGACCCCACTGAGGTGGGGACAGCAGCCCCAGCCCCCAAGTCCCCGGGGCGGGGCCGTGCTGAATGGAGGTGTGTGTGCCGGAGGAGGAGGCCTGGCCCCGCACGCCCCAGCCACAAGGGCTCCTTTGCCTGCAGAGGCAACCGGAGCCGCAGCTGGAATTCAGGAAATCCCAGGTGGGCGGGGTGGCCCTGAAGGGGCTGGGCGTGATGACTTGAAGCTGCCACCCAGGGACCCTTGCCTCGCCCCAGCCCTGCCCTGCTCCTCCTTCCCACGCCCAAACCCTTCTGTACCCGCAACTTCGAACCCAATTTCCTCCTGAAGCACTTTCCCTCCTCCAGCCTCGCTGTCCCTGCCTGTCCCAGCTGTCCCTGGATTCTCCTCAAGACATAGCTGGCTTTGCACATGCCAGGCACATTCTGTCCCCTGACTCTGCCTGCCATAATCTTTCAAGATCAGAATAGCGACCAGCAGGTACCTGTGCTCTTAGAGCGTGTAAGGTGGTAGGGGAGAGACCCAGAGCAGCTGTGTGACCACAGACAAGTTCCTTCACCTCTCTGTGCCACAAATTCCTCATCTGGAAGCTAGGGGGTTATTGGTGCCCACCTCCCAGGGTTAATTGGAGGGGAAGAGTTGCAGGAGCTGTCCCCGGGTCCCATGCCTGTGTTCTCAGCCACAGGTGAAGCTTGGTGACCTCTCCCCTGAACCCACTCCCCGTGCCTCCTGCCCTGTCCCTGAGCTGGTGAGTATCCGAGAATTCTCGAATTCGCCTCTGTCCAGGAAAAGCTGGGGGAGGAGATCAAGCCTCCTGCTGTTTGGGGTGTGGTCTGAGCGTCCCCAAAGGTTCATGAGGCATTCTATCTCGTCCAGCTGTGGAGTTTTGAGGTTGGGCCTTGGGTAGTGATGGGGATTAGACATGGTCATCAGGTGGAGCCCACGGTTGATCCTATGGCTGTGTAAGAGGAGGGAGACAGGGGACCAGGCACACACACCATTCTCACCATGTGACGTCTTGCACGGCTGTGGGACACAGCCAGCAAGTCCTTTGACAGACATGGCCCCCTCGATATCTAGAACTATGAGTTCAGTAAACCTTTTTTCTTTATAAAGTAACTTAGCCTCAGACATTTCATGGTAGTATCAAAAAATGAGCTAATGCACAGATTGTAAATACAGGGACATACCCAGGAATGGTCCCTTGTCTTGCATCCAGATCCTCTAGTTGATGGGATGGAGCAGAAAGAACACGGGCATGGCCACCTGAAAGACCCAGTTCAAAGCCCCTTCTGCTGACTGGCTGTGTGACCTGGAGCTGGCAACACCCTCTCTGAGCCTCAGCTTGTCATCGTGCAGTGGGAACAGGACCAGGAGAGGAAGCAACGAGAGGACAGGAGTTGGAGACAGGGTCAAGGGCTGCCCTCTTTCCAGGGAACAGAACCGAGACCCTGGGGACCTGAGCAGTCACTCTGAAAGTTGTTCCTCAGCAAAGGGAAAAGCAGATAGTGGTTGGAAAATGACTGCCAGGTGCAGCCAGTGGCTCTCACAACCCTTAGCAGTGACAGTGACCATCTGTCCACACGTGTCACTCACACTGTCCCTCCATCTCCTTTGTTTCCCCAACAAACCTATGAGGTCCACACACAGGGCAGAGTCTGTTAGCCTGTTTGTCAGATAGGGAAACTGAGGCCCAGAGAAGTCTGCTGGGTAGCCGAAGCCGCCCAGCCAGTTTGGGAGCGGTCCCAGCTGACAGCCCAGGCTGGCTCCCCTTTGGGCCCATGTTAGAGGAAACAGATGTTGGAAGCTTTCCCTGCCCTTTCCTGCTCCCCAACCTGAAAGCCAGCAGCGGCCACTGGGGCCCTTCCCCTCTCCAAGTTGACATTGACCTCTTCTGTTCTCCAGAAGGGCTGCAGGAGCTCCAGAGATCACCCTATGGTGTGTATCCCTTTCCCAGATTGAGTTGCAGCGTGTCACCTGCCTCCCCAGGGCTCTTTCCTGCCTCACTCCCCACAGCATCCCTGGGACCCAGCATGGCGCTGCCTTGGGGAACCTCATTAAGTGAAGCAGAAGGAAATCATGATGAACAGCCCCGTTGCCCTGTCGGCCATCAAGGGTCACATCAGGGTCGGCCATGGTGACCCCTGGCAAGGGAGGCACCGTGCTGTCCCAGGGCCATGCCGAAGACGGACGAGGGGCACGTGAGCCCGAGTCTCCTGGCCAAAGGCCCCCTCCCAACGAAGGGCCGCGTCCCGGTGCAGGCTGAGCTGGCGGGCGGCAGCTGGCGCATGAAGTGGCTCTTTCAGCCGGGCTCTGAATGGCAGTTCTGTGAGCTCCCGGAGGGGCACAGGCCCCTCTCTGTCGCTTCTCCGCTCATTAGCAGAGCCACAGAAATATGCGGCAGGTAGGCTTGCAGGGACAGCCGGGTTCAAGGGGAGGCGGGCGGGAGGGCGGACCTGGAAGCTGAGCGTGGACATTGAGGAAAGAAAGTCAATATTTGTGTTTGTAAAACTGAAACATTTCCCCGGGACTCAAAATCGGGAACAGTGTGTCCGCTATTGGCCGGGGGCACGGAGGGGCCTGCTGGAGCCCCCCTCCCGGGTCTCGGCGGTCCCTCTCCTGCCCCCAGAGTCTCGGTGTGCGCGGGGCCCGAGAGGCCGGGGCAGTGTGGCCCGGTGGGTAGTGCGCAGGACTCCCCAGCCAGGCTCCCGCTGCTCCAGGCTCAGCTCTTGTCCCACAGAGCGAGCCGGGTCATCTCACACCCTGTGACAAACGATGGCACCTCCCATGGCAGCTCCCCTTCATCGTCACCCACCGTCCGCACTGGCCCACGTGGACCTTTACTGTCCCGGCTGTTTCATCGTTCAGCGGCTCTGAGCCAACCCGTCGTCTTGTTGTTGTTGTTAATTTTCCTCTGAGGAGTAATGACCCTGAAATCAGTGGTCGAGGTGAGCTCAGATGTTTACTCCAAAACACATTTCAATAAGTTCCAGTTAATTCAATTTAACATTTTGTCCACAAATCTCCAAAGTCACCCTGTGTTCTGCAAGCCACACCTGGAGGGAGCCCGAGAGGTGGGAAAAGCTTTGGAACCAGACAGAGCTGGATTGGCTCCCCCGTTCTGTCACATGCCAGCTCTGGTGACTTCAGGTAAAGCCCTCCCTTTCCTGCTCTTCTGTTTCATGCCTGTGAAGCTGGGGTCCCTGTACCAATGTCGCAGGCCAAGAGAAAGCAACGCCCCTACCGTCGCGGCAGTGTTGGCGGTCCTTCCGAGGCCTTCCTGTATCAGGAGAGGGCAGGCCGCAGTAACAAACAAGTCCCTGGTCACATGGCTTTTTTCTGAAGGCAAAGTCCTGCAGGCAGCAGAGGTCTCCCTGCAGGGGCCTCTCCAAAGTAGCCTCCATCTGCCTGTCCCACCATTTCAAGTCCCCTGTCTCCAGCCCCATGGATGAGAGAGAGCAGTGTCCCCTAACCTCCTCAGACAAGGAGCACAGATCACCTGACTCTCCCAGATGCCCTGGGGCAGGAGCACTGACAGCCTCT